ATGTTTACGAACCGATGGATTGGTAGACGTGGACATATTGAATTGCCAGCGTGGTCGCCAGACTCAAATCCGTTGGATTATTTTATGTGGGGCCATCTGTAGAATGTTGTTTATGAAACGAAACCAGCAAATATTCAAGAATCAAAAGAGAGAATTCGAGCGGAAATAGAAAATATTTCTCAAGAAATCATAAACAAGGTTCAACAAGAATTCATTCAACGTTTAGGTTACTGTCAAATACAGCACGGACTACAGTTCGAACATTTAAAATAAAGTCATGTATTTATCACTGTAGTACTTTCCCATTGTTAAATTATTCATTAAAAAAAAATATAAAATAATTAATTAATTATTGTAAAACGACCTTTGGTTTTGGAAATATCGAATTTATTCCATACTTTGCGGACACACTGTATAGAGATAGACATATTGAAATTTTTGTTAAGATAATTTGATGATATAATGAATTTGTATGGTGAATTCTTCTAAGTTCCATATCCAAGCATTCGATTTCAAGCAATTTGTGTGATAATTTTTGAAACTGTTTTATATCATAAACAGTTTTGTACTTTCTGGATTTTTTACTGCAAACGAATCCGCATAATTAAAATTTGAAAAACTAATGTTTCACATAATATCATTTTAACACTTCTTGGAAAAAATTTGAATAAGTAGTTCTAAATGGAAAGTTTATGTCGTATATTTATTCATGTACGTTTTTATTCTTTACAAAATTCATATACAGTATAGAAGGTGGTTTGAAAAGTAAAGGTAAAAGCCTCGATGGTAGTGACGTTACAGTAATATTTTAAACTTTGATTTTCCATCGAAATTGAAAAATTTAGGTAACACTTCCTGATGAATGAACCATTTTCTTATAGAGCTAATGAATAATATCGAAAATGTGATAGAACTGGCCGATACTTGATGAAAATCGATTATAACGTATTCAAAAAACACACTTCAGTGTGAGATTTCTACTTGAGAGTTTACAAGGCCGCGACACGTGTATCGCGTGTGATGCGTCACGATACTTTGACGCTCGAAAATGCTATTGTATAGCGAAATCTGTGTCACGGTTTTGTAAACTTTCAAATGAAAATCTCACATTAAAGCGTGTTTTTTAATACGGAATAATATGGATTTCATCATTTTTTTTCTGGAAAGTGTAAGCATTGGCCTGAAATTACCGCTAAAATTCGAACATCACATGGCAGCTAATGATCTAATATCTAATCAATACTTGCACGCGCCATTCCCGCACCCAATCAGAAATGTGATTCCTCTATGAACGCCATAATAATAAAGTTACCTCAACACCTGTTCGCTAACTGAATTTTACCAGCTCCCCATATACCGATTGTACTGGATCAAATAACAATTGCCGTAAACGAGAAGTGATGTCATGTTGTGACGAAGCGGCATGCTCTCATGCCGTCGTTGCCGCGGCAACCATTGAAGCAACACAATTAACGGACAGGGAAAGGGAAATTATCCTGGATGTCCTTGGCCGAGATGAGTTACTCCGGAGACACCAGCAACTCCAAGTTATGTGAGTATACGCTCTTATTTTATTGAGTAATTTGAATTTCATCGGGCACCGCTTCAGGCAGGAATTTCAATTAGGGCATTAAAAAATTTTAATGGAAACGTTTCATATCTGGATTACCTACAGTCTCTAAAAAAAGGAACGAAGGCTGAAAACTCCTCTTCCATCAAGTCCCTATACCCATGTACAGTACAAGTAAACGTCCTACCGTCCAACAGCTCCCGTTTGATAATTTAGTTAGGAAGCTAACTAATTTCGTTATTCAATAATCATTTCTATATATCATATCATATATACATATATGTCGGAGACGAAACAATAGTTGGAACTTTCCCTGGTCTAGACTTTCATTGGGGTAGTATTTAAATAATAATATTTAGAGTAGTTGTTTACGACTCAAGCCGATTATGTTTATCCAGGCTCATAGCGGTAAATCGCTTTAAAAACATTTCACTAACTTTCTTCCAAAGCTTACGATAATTCTTCTTCCATATTTTTTGTTTCACTATCACTGTCGTCAATTAATCAATAATGAATTTATTTCCATCATTAATATGGAAGTGTCCAATCCCCTGTCTTTTTCAACTAAAATTGTTTTTTTAATTTTCTGCCAGTCTTCTTCGGCAATATTAGATAGTTCTTCCTTAATTAGGTATATTGCCTTCCTATCAAATTTTTAAAAGTATTTTTACGCCTGATGCTTTATTTCAATTTTTCCCAAGTCAAATCGATGGAAATGAAAACACGAAAATAGGGGGGAAGTCTCAGTATGGTGTGTCCATACTTTTCAGCAATACTCTCAAGGACATGAACTTTTTAATATGTTTTTGTCTGTAAAACTTCAAGTATTTTAGTAATCTTGAAAATACAAATTGTTATACATTAAAAAATGTATTTCACCTTTCCTCGAATTTTTATTAGGAACTTTGATGAGCTGTCGCGAATGATAGGAAGCGTTGTCAAGAACTATTACACTATTCGCATCCAAATTTGAGATAAATGTGTTTTCAAATCATTCCTCGGAAATATTAGCTTCCATGTTCTTATGATAGTCAACATTGCAGTCCTCAAGTTTTTTTCCACATATTTCAAAGACTTCGGAACCCATCCTTTACTTCCTCCGCAATGCACAATGATTAGTTGCGATCCTTTGTTTTCATGCCATGTTAGGCGTACACATTCTCAACCATCAGTCCATCCTTTCGTAACTGTGTCGTGAGTGTCATACCAAGTTTCGTCCAAATAGAAAATTTGCCGTTGTTCTTGTCTATATTTAGTTATTGGTTCTGTATATTTGTTACGCAATTCCACTATTCTTCTGCTTTCCATAACTGCTTGAAGTTTGTTTATTATTTTACATCTAAATCCTAGTTTATTTATCCTGATTTCAGTTGTAGGAATCTTATTGCTTTTGTAACAGTCGTATATTGTTTTTTTTAAATGATTTTATTAGATGAACATCTGAAGGTTTTGGTAATCCTGTATCACATCCCGTGTTTGTTTTTGACTATTTTACGTATAGTTGAGAAAGAAATTTCGGTAAAATCTGATGTTGCTTGTAATAGTTTGTTTTCCTCGAAATCAAACTTGAGATGTACATTCTTATATACATTGATACATACTCTCTATGTTTCAATATTCAAATGCATCCGAATCTCATTCACTGGTATCTCTTTTTCGCATTGTTCACCATCGCTATTGGAATCACTACACCGGAAAAATTCTGCGTTGTTATCACACTCGTTATTACTATTAGTACTTGTCCAAGGACGCCACATTTTAAAAATATAACAAAAATTTGAAGCAATTATAACTGCACCAATATCGAATTTCAACCCTCAAATCGCGATCAGTTCCTGAACTGAACATTGGCGACACAACTGCGATACTCATCCCCACATTCTATTCGTCACCGTAACATGACTTCAAATTAAATTTAATATAAGTCTAGAAGTAACTTGAAAGGAACAGATATATAATTAAATGGGGATCTGACTGAAAAACGCTGTGACTTACTTGTTCTAACTGAGAAGAAATATGGAGGGAAAACACGGTAACAATGTCAAGGTCTATCTGAAAATTATTTTGGAATTATAAAAACAGTGGCTTCTTTACGGCAGAGAATTGCCAAATTTCTTTTGTATTTTTTTTATTAGTAAAGCAAGATTTGTACCCATATATTATAAATAGTGAAACTGTTTATTTCAATTTTGAAATATTTTCTGTTCATTTATACTGTAACCAATACGATGACTTAATTACTTTATTTTACTCTATAGGAACCTACGTATTCATGTGTAATATTAAACAATGACTATTCTACATTTATATTACTAGAACTGGGACATATTTGGCCCAAAATTCTTCAGTGGATCCGTTATATATTTGCAAAGGCACATCTTCTTGCAAATCAATATGGAAATTTAAGAAACGGAGATAGCTTGCCTATCTCTGCAAAGTCTTGGAATCTTGTAGCAAATTCGTTCTTAATATCGGCCAAAAATTTTACAAACTCTGCAATGTCTTCTTCAGAGGTATCCTTTTTGAATTCAAGAATTGTCGGAAAATGAATAAATTCTTGTTAAACGATATCTTTTTCAAAGATATCCAGCTTACGACGAAAAGTAGACACGCTTTGTATCAGATCACATAATAATTTTCCATTTCCTTGTAAATCTGTATTGATCGCATTCCAATATTTAAAATATCTTTCAGAAAAGCCACAACCAGCATATTGCGCTCGTTTTTTATACACTCAAATTGCTTTCTGGCTCCTTCTGTATCCAAGTTTTGCAAGAAGGATGATACTTGTTCTTTTATTAGCCCAGAAACGTTCAATAATTTGAGCTTCACTTAGCCAACGAACATTGTTGTGTTATAGTAAGTCAGAAAACATTCAGAAAAGAACTCTTTGAAATGTCAGTGCTGAAGAGCAGAATGGGATCTCATAAAATTAATCAACTCAACTTCTTCTTTGAGTGTAGCACTAAGTTTTCCACAAAGGACTGCCTGGTGAATTAGGCCCTGATACGATATTAGACCTGAATTTTTATCTCTGATTCTCTTCACTACACCTTTTTCTTTGCCAATCATTGCTGGGGCTTCGTCAGTTGGAATCGAAACCATTTTATCTTAACTGATGTTGTATTTCGTAATAAAATCATCAATAGCCTTGAATAAGTCTTCTCGTGTGTTACCTTTCAACGGCAATATTGCTAGCAACTCTACCCTAAAAATCTGACAGCCAATGTCAAAAAATCTTACGAAAATTGACATTAGTTCATCATTAACAATGTCACGTGATTCATCAAGTGTTATGGCGTAGCAGTGTGCCTTTTGCAGATGTTCAAGAAGAGTGTTTTTAATGTCCGCAGCTAAAATTTCACTTCTTCGTGTATTACTTCTCGTGTATTACTAACAATGGAATACTTTGAATTGAATTGAATTTTTTTTCTTCAAAAAGTGACGTAACTTCTGCCAACATACATTCCTTCACTAGCTGAGAAAATGGTTTTTGGTGGTTATTAAGTGTCCAGCACACATGTAACGCGGCTTTTGTGAATTTTTCTTGGATGCTCATGCAACGAACTAGTAATTTTGTACTCTTTTCGTAGGAACTGAGATATGTCTGATTTTTTTCTTTACGAGCCTGACTAGCAAGAGGAAAGTTTTTGTGGAATTGCTGATGAATTGTTTTGTAGTGTCGCTTCAAATTTCCACTTTTAACAATAGTTCTATTGCATATAAGGCACATTGGAACCGCTTGAGGTCTATCAGGTAACGTAAAACAATATTGTTCAATCCATTTTGCAAAATCCTTCTATTTTCACTGTCGACTTTTCGTTTTTTAGGATCCATATCAACGTAGGTACAGAAAGATTTTTATCAAACGAACGAAAACGACAGAAATCAAAAATAAATGTCCGGTTACTCCGTTGTTTGTTCTGCGACTGATGATGGAAATTTGATGTAGGCAATGTATATAAAAGAGGACCAAGAATGCTACATTGTGGTATACCTCGTTTTATTGTTAGACTATCTGAAAGTTCATCATCAATGTTTAGTCGTTGTTGATGATTTGTTAAGTACGATTTGGAGAGTTCCAGTGAATGTCTGGTGAATCCAAGGTAATGTATGATGAATAATAATATCATGATTGAACGTATCAAAGGGACGGAGCTAATCTATCATAATGAGAACACATAATTTGTTTTTGTCTAGCGTATTAACTATATCGTCAGTAACAGCACTCAATGCCGTTGAACAACTGTATCCGCTTCTAAAACTAGGCTGATGTTCAGGAAGTAATTTTCTATTTGCGACACAGGTGCCGAATTGTTTCACAAAATTTTTTTATGAAACTTTGGGTAAAGTCGGAAGAATGCTAATCCGATGAAAAAATCCTTCTTTTAAATAAGGAAATATTATATTCCGTGTACTCAATGATTGGATTCAGTCAAAGCATGATGCAAAAATAACATGGCATTAAATAAAAGCTGTATCTACTTAACCTATATCTAATACTGCCATTCGCTGGAGAGCGCTTCATTCCACTGATCTGTGAAACCAGGACAAGCTTGATTAAGCTCATTATTTCTCTGCATTGGATTTTTTTAATACGATTAGATTTAATTATCAATTTAATATTGTTTGCGACAACTATTCTTATTCTAATTATTCAATGATGAGTAATACATTGAAAGATAATTTTGTTGTCTGGATATTAAGGTGTGACCACAATATTTCGATCGAGAAATGTAATGAATATGGATTAGCGCAAATTGCTAATCAAGGGCATATAAAAACACTCTGGGAGCAGACGAAAATAGTATATAAAAACACGAATAACAAATGAAGCGAAACGATTTGTTACGCACCTAGTACCTATGCAAAAAATCGAATTAATTACTTCACCAATAACCTAACTGCATAACACCATCATTTCACCATCAAAATTATAGAAATTATGACTAAATATTCATAGCATATATCTCTCATCGAAATGAACTAGCCTTTTGTAGCTTGTGCATTTCGCTCTCCGTGCCTTGACAACTACCAGCTTCATACATCTTTTTTTGTAAACGAATCACTTGTTATCCGACCGTTGCTACAAGGTGGCTGTGCAAAAACAAACAAATTGTCGAATTGTACTGACATTTCCATGAGATATCAAATGTAATAATTCGGTCGGTAGCCGTTTGGTTCGATGTGGGTGCTTTGTTCACTCACTCGAATTGACTGCCGTGCTTTTCGGTGGTTCAAGATTCAGGCTGAACGATCGATTTTCACTTGCTACCATCCAACCCTTGTTAGGAATCATACGTTAAAAGGTAAGACCTTCTGAATCCTTAGCTCGCACAAATTTTAACTTTTGAGGGTTGCTGTTCGTAGGGGTGCGAAAGCTGGTTAACGGAAAAACAGATTTTGAACAGATTTTCTTTAACAGACAAAAAATACTTGTCGAATGTATTGTTGGCGAAAATATATGTACAGGGTAACCTATATGAAACTTCGCGGGAAATCACTAATTGATTTCGTTATCAGCATGTTAGTCGAGTTATGGTCAAAGTGACATTTTTTAGGTAATTTGAAACATTTATTTTAATTTGTACAGAAATACGCAACTAGATGAAATGAAACAATGAAATCATAACTGATGTATTCATTTTATTAAACTTGTATTATTGCATTTATTTTGACTTATTCATGTCCCTCTTTATAATACGCAATAAAATTATCTTTTTTCATCAGTGTTCAAGGAAAACTACAAGTTTGCTATATGGCTGAATTCATAATTTAATGCAGAATTCAAAAACTAATTGAAAATGCTGGGTTACCATTTAAAAAAATTGGCGTCGGTGTCGCGACGCCCTAACGGATGACGCCTAGTGCTAGATCTCTACGTAAATAAGAGGACCCTTTGACACCAAAATTATCTGCTTTCACGGAATATGGATATTCTTTTTCATTTTTTAGATATTTGCTCGCGGAGCAGAAACATATGTTAAGAAAATTAAATCAGTCATTCAAAATGAAAACCTTACTGTCATCAAGAAAGACCCAACAAAAATAGTCAGTCACGTATAGTCAGTGGGCATACTAGAAGACTGGCTATAAATCAAATAATCTAAAAGAACAATTCGTTCAGGCCAGTCTCAACACCCTACACAGTAGGTTAATGGACTGACACCTATCAGACAACAACTACTCCCCTAGCTAATACTGCGAAGGACGTTGGATTATATCCGACAGGTGTCAGTGCAGGATTCTTCACTGAAGTTATTCCTGCATATGCTGTTGGCGATACAACTGCCGCAATAGATTTTCAATTATTGGAACACACTTGCAGACCGGTTTTGGGCTGTTTGGCCACTCGTCAGTGCAAGGTAGTGTATATCATCAACATAAAGTCGATGATTTCTGATAATTGAAAATCGAATTCCGTCAGAGTATCATTCCTCGAACTAAGCTGAAGACTACAACAAACAACAGGTTTGTCGTCGCCCCATCTGCCTGTGAACGAGGTAACCTACTGCATATCCGAAATTTGCCCAATTCCTCGTATACGTCCATTAACCTACTGTGTAGGGTGTTGAGATTGGCCTGAACGAATTGTTCTTTTATATTATTTGATTTATAGCCAGTCTTCTAGTATGCCCACTGACTATACGTGATTGACTATTTTTGTTGGGTCTTTCTTGATGACAGTAAGGTTTTCATTTTGAATGACTGATTTAATTTTCTTAACATATGTTTCTCGTAAAAGGATAACGATGGCATTCGATGGCTTTCGTGAAAATAACATAATTTTTTCTTATTTTTTGTTGTATAGTATTTTATTACGCCTGTTTCTCTACTTCATTGAACTTGCCCCTATATCTCTATTATCTGTCTGTTTCAATGCAATAGCTGTATCTGTTATCAACGTATCCAAAATGTTTTTATTGATTATTTTTGGTGTATATTTCGGCCCTTTGGACATTGTTATAATTTCCACTTTGTTAAACTCTACTTTGGTCAAGTTAATGATTCTTTCGCTGAACTGGATATCTGGTTTGACTGATTGGCTGTGTATGATATGTTGTTGTTTCTGTATTAGTGCCCTAAGTTTCTTGAGTTGAATTTGGTACTTCCGGTACCTATATGAAATCACTAATTGTATACATAACTTGGTCATAAAAAATGTCAAATTCTATTTGCTATAAACTGTTGATAAACATTGGATACTCTATATTTTTTACTGATATTTTTCAGTCCAAGGATTTTGACCCAAAGGACACATCAATGGTCTGAGGTTAAAAGAGTTGGTGCTCCGTTCACCTCTGCTCTGCTGTCTTTTTCAACAAAATTTCAAGAGTTTGAGACTGATTTACTCTCATAAGGCTATCGATAATTTCTAATGGAAAAAGCTGAAGAATAATCCAAATCAGATATATAAAAAAAATTGAGAGTGAATGAAGATTTTATCAAAGTCACCTGTTTCCTGTCGACTGTATCCCATTTCGAAAATTACCTTCTTCGTTTATGTGACAAATGGGCACAAGGACTTCTTCAGAAAACCTAAAAGATTGCTTTTTTGTCTTCTCTCATAACCAATTTGGAGATTCAAGATAGTTCATCCAGCTGATGTGAAACAGGAATAGTTAGTGCCTAAAATAAAATCTGTTTTTCCCCGTTAAATTACCATACCGATGTATTCAAATGAATAGGATGTAGCTCTAGTGTTCTTGTTGGCTTATATTATTCTTTCACTAATTTTTTTTATAAACTCCCAAGCTTGCGTTCCAAAAACTCCCCATCTGGATAAAAAAGTAGTTCCTACAAATTTCTTTTTTTCACTTTTAGGTGGCACCAAGACTTTTGGAAGTAATAACAATATGCGATAATGCTACAGTTCAATGCGCATGTGGAATCCCAGACAAGGAGTTTATCGAATTTACAGGGAATGAGCGTCATACCTACCATTAGGACACTACTGAAATTGATTTTGAGGAAAATAAAACTGATAACAAAGGTGATAACATTGATGATGACAATCTTATTGATTAAGGTTTGATTAATTTTCATCTGTGATTTTTCGTTCAGTTTTGAAGACGATGAATTTGCTAACATTGATTCATAACAAGAGCGAATTGGCGGAAAATGTCACGAAATTGAGGATATCGCAAAGACATCACCTCTTTACTATCCATCACACCATGACGTGGTAGTACGCCAATGTCATCCAATACCCTCCGTTAAATCGATGTAAAATCTATTTTCTCGTGAAATTAGACCAGGAAAAAACTTCGCATAGGCCAGGCGTACTATGTTGAAAAATACTGATTTTTCAGAAAAATTCCTTACAGGGTAAACTCATCGAGAATGGGTTGGGAAGGTAGTCAGTAATGTTGGGGCAAAAATTCAACAGCTGAATGTTTGCAGAGGCGGAGGGGTGGATGTGAAAATGGGTGAAAAACGGTTTTTCGCGGTTTGAGGACAAAATTGTTTTAGAGAAAAAAGTTAAATGAGAAAGTTGTAGATAATGAAAAAATCTATAACTTTTGTATTCATACTTTTTTCACAAACAGCTGTTGAATTTTTGCCCCAATATTACTGACTACCTTTCCAACCCATTTCCGTTGAGTTTGCCCTGTAAGGAATTTTTTCCTCAAAAAAATATTGTACGCCTGGCCTACCAGGTGAAAGTCCAAAATAACTCAATAACAATAATAATGGTTGGACCAAACTCTGGTCTAAAATAGATCCAAAGTGACGTTCGCATATTCAGCAGTTGTGTTCATTTGTATTAGGGACAGGAGAATTTTTTTCTAATCATTGTTTATGACTTGATGGAGGTCAACTCTTAACTTCTCAATTTCATTCCTGTTCCGTCTTCACCTCCATTTTTTTTGTGTTCATATAATTAAGAGATATTGTGTTTGTCTGATTATTTTTTCCCATATTTTTTTTTCTCTCATTATCGTGAGAACGACTGTGCGTTCCATGTTGGGAGAAGGCTGGCCCGCAGAGAAGTGAACAGATACCTTTTTGAATCGGTTGTCAACGGCTCGATAAGTGATCTACCTCGATAATAATAATTTCGCTCTACAAGTGCAAGACTTCGATAATAATAGTTATTCATATAAACACTTGTGTTTATGCCCAGTTTCCTCTCTAAGAAAAGGAATTCAATCAACATTGGATCTGGATGCAGAACGATTCCAAGGTAGGAAAATACAGTCTCGTGTAATAAATTCTCATCATTATTCTCTGGCCATTGAAAGGCAACTTTATAAAACCGGTCAAACACTATTTGAGATAGCGAACTCCTATTTTTTTTACAGTCCATTTATCAAATACAAAACAATTCCAAATAACCGAATGTGTTTATCATATTTTCACGGCGTCTTCAGTGATTTGTTTCTGTTCATCTTCTATTAGATATTCAATAGTCAGATCCGACTTGATGATAATAATTTCTGTTTATTATCACGTTGATTCGATACATTTACCTATAAAGGTGATACTTTGTCTGCCTTTCAGATTGATCTTATTGTTTCGAACCAGACATCAACTATTCAATAATGCATAACAATACTCTATAGCTAATATGGCAGTTTGAGCTGAGCGATAAGTTCATGTCTATTTCAGTAACTGAACACGTTCAGATGATTATATACCAGTCGCTTGGCCTATTATTAACAAAAAAATTATATGTGACATGGAGGTTTTTCTTTAATAATACCTCAGAATTGGGCATCGAAAACAATTATTATGAAATAACATTTTATAATAGAACATCAAAAGTGGACCGAGAGGTCTTGAAAAAACGATAAACGAATTTGGTTGATATTTGTGGTTGGTTGTAAAGTGTGGACACATATATGGTAAGAACGTTTTTATAATAATAATCCAAAATATCACTAAACTAAATGTCACAAAATCAAAATTCATCATTCTAGATCTCAAGTTATTTGAAAAATTGATAAAATATTAAATTATTCTTGATCTATCGAATTTTATATTTACAATATCGTATGCTTACTATTTTACGACAACGATCTGTTGAAAAAGGCAAGCCTCTCTCTGTGTGGTGAGCACAAAGTATATGCTCTATCATCTTCCAAACAGAGACGCCCGATCTTCCGACAGTCCAAGTCTCCTCACATGATGATTCTCACGACATGATGCTTAATGAACTTGTTAGACAATCATTATTGCTGTAGTCTCACAATTGTTTGATGTACAAATATCTTAGAATGTACCAATCAAGATTGGGTATCTGTTTGACAGAATGTAAAGTGATACCAATGACAGATTCTGGTCGAATGAAGCTACTTGTAGACCAGAGACAAGTTGTTCAGTTTCACTAATGAGGAAATTTTTTTGGGCAGATTTTTGGAATAGGTCGCATAAGACTCCAGGCAAGTTGATATAAATGTCCTGGTTCTGGTTCATCTGCATTTTTCATTCAATAGTGAACCAAGAATTATCGGATACCTGTATTTCCACCTTCCGAAGGATCCAGTGAATTATTTCGTAAATTTAAAAAAAAGATACTGGCAGTACATATACACCTCCTTACTAAAGTACTAGAAACTCAAGACGCCACTTCAGCTGACAAAAACAGTACGAGTGGTAAAGTACTGTCAATTACCTATAGTACCTGAGAGTACTATAGTCTTATTTATGAATGTCAACTTTATTGCCCACAACCATCGCCATTTCTTCGAGAACCGCCTTGTCTATAGTTGACCATATTCACATTAAAATATAAATGTTTCATGCGTTTCATGATTGATAACACTGGTACTTGACATATGATATGAAGAAGAAGACAAGTAATTTTAATTCAAGAACAATTTTATCGCGTTAATAACATGATTTAGTGTTCTGGTCATAAATATAACATATTTATTAGGTTGTTTCAAAAGTTTTTGCTTGGTCCTGATTGGCGGAGGTTCTACTGGCAAGAAAGTTATGGAAGTGCTTGAAAAGATGGTAGTTGGTTGGCGATGGGTCTGAGGAGTACGGTGGATGAAGTAGATTTTTGATGCCCAATTCATTTGATTTTTGGACGAAGATTTGTGAAACGTGCGAACAGTCGTTGTCGTGGAGAGGATCGGACCTTTTCTGTTGACCAGTCCTAGCTGCAGCCGACGCAATTTTCGGTACATTTCGTCGACTTCCTCACAATAGAACAATGCTGTAATGGTTTGGCCCGGTTGCAGAAAGTTATTGTGAATTGGGCCAACTGCTGATCACCATACATTAACCATGGTCTTTTTTGGTGAGGATATATTCCCAAAAAAAAAACAAATAAAAAAATAGAATTACATTTGGAGAACTTTTTTTTTCTAAATTGGCTACTATGTGTGTTTGTCGTCACTGTCAGTTTTCATATACAGATGATATTTGATTTGCCATTTTAGAATTGTATTTGTTTTGTGTATGTGTATTTATTTTATCGTCTAAATCTATATAGATTTTGTCCGGTATCTTCATCAGCTGATGTATGACCATATTCATGAGGCCATTTTTGGGTTTTATTTGCTGTTTACAGGTTATTTTCATAGTATGTATTTATTTTATCGTACACATCTATAAAGATTTCATTCGGAGTATCAGTTGTCATATAGGTATGTAGTTGACGTTTACATTGATTTTTCAATATTCAGTTGTGTGACAATTGACACTTATGACAAATACACAGAGTAGCCAACTCAGACAAAATGCATGCACTACAAACTAAATCCTCATCTGATATTGTCTATTTCCTACTTCGTATTGACTTACATTGGCAAGTCGTGAATCTCGCGATGAAATCACCATTTTCAATATCAGCCCAAAAACTAATTGAACCAAACCCAATTAGTGCACGTCAATTATTTTCTTCGCGACTTTGCTGCCGTGATGCAAACAGATACGTCCCTCCTATAGGAGATAGGTCAGCCATAGAAGGGCAATTACCAAGAATCTCGTGTTCTAACGTCACCTGGGAAGCGTAGGCGTTACAATTCGTTACGTGAGTGGATATTTTAAGATGTAGGTTTCTTTAAACCAGTTTCACGTTTTATAAAGCCTTTGTGATTGCAGAAAAATCATGTGTCGAAATAAGAGCGATTGAGTTCGGAATCGAAGAAAAATGACAAGTAGATTTTAATATTCTCCTGCAGTGCAATATTTAGAATTTACGTGAGTTGAAAACTCTTGAATCTGGATTTGAAAAGAGTAGGTAGTATAAAAAATTATTGAAGGTGTTACGATTAGAAGATGATTGATGGAAAATGTATACAGAGGAGAGCTTTGCATAGTATACTACCACAAAACGTGGAACAGCAATCTATGCAGTTGTATTTAGATATCTTTCTAATTTTCATCTTATTTCTCATGCCATAAGCCTATTGTTTCGGTTTTACAATGAACCACAGTTCGGACAGTTCGCGGTCAGTATTACGTTGTTCGGGTTGAACCGCATCTGAAGAGAAACGTAGCTAGATTTAAGTTTTTTCGTCAAGAGTGACATGAAGTAGATATGTAAATATTAAATTTCAAAATTTGACCTCAAATATTTTGTCAACAACAAAGGTTTATTGGGAAGATCGAGGGAGAAGCCACGTTTAGATGAATTTGAATAAAATTTATTCAAAAAGTCATAAAAGTAATTGGAAAATAAAGAGAATTTAGTCCAGCTCACTTCGAAAGAATATCTAAAATGTTGAAAAACAAGAAGGATTGCATACCATATCTTCCGTTGCTGAGAGTCCGGTTCTTGAATTCCACTGAGTACTTCGTAGAAAAACAACATTGCACATGCATAGAGAGAGATCAGGTATTTATGCCAAATATAAAAAGTTCGAACCTATCCAATTCAGAAGTCATTTGCATATGTATAGTAAATTTTTATCAATTAACAAGTCAGTTTGTCAGAGTTCAGACGATATTGAAGTTTCAGCTGATAGAATAGGACACTTCAAAGAGTTATTTATGTAGTAGACAATAGATGTCATTTTAGATTTTGAGTAGTGTTC